CCAGATGGTCGAAATCCAGTTTGCCGAATGCCAGATTGCCGAGACCACTTTGCCGAATCCCAATTTGCCGAGTGCCAGTCTGCCGACTCAAAAACAATGAATCCCAGTTGGCCGAAATCCACTTTGCCGAACCCAGTTTGCCGAATCCAGTTGCCTATCCCAGTTTTCCGAAAGTCAGTTAAAAGCAGTGAAACATTAACAGCAGCATAAAATTCACGATGGAATACTATGACGCACATTTCACGCTATCACGATCCTCAGATAGACTGATTGTGTTAGCACATACTACTCTCTTACATACAAAGTTGTTTTGCATATTAGCCACGATCAGGTGGAAATTTTGTATGCCTACATTTAGATACCAGTTCTGACCTTTTATTAAGTAGGGTTGTCTTATTAGCATTAAGAATAGCTAATTTTTCGTCCATGCAAAGTTTGCAATTACCAAACGCTGCGCTTTTTACGGATGAGCGCTTTACTATGTTCCACTCTATTTTAAATTTGGTATTCTCATTTTTTAGTTTCCATACATATTTAGACAATTCAGATTCCTTTTCGTATAATTTATTAGTGAATGATTTCTTGTGGTTGTTAAACCTTGTCTTAAATTCCCCCCAGTCATACCAATATAACGTTTTACTTAATTATTATTGGCCAGGACATCGGCCGAATATACGATCGACTTTACCAAACATGAACCTTTCAGCGGGCATTCGCCTTTATTACGGCAATTACAAGTGGGTTTATCGTCACATACATTGTTTTTCTTATTATTCATACTCAATATCTTATTGTTATGTTTCTTTATAGTACTTCTCATACTGGGCATGCAACTGTAACTTACTTTAACATTATTTTTGTTAAATATTTTATGTAGTGCATTTCCCTGAGGAAAATGCTTACTAACAAGGTTTAAAAATGACTTTGCAACATTAGTTTTAATGTTCATACTTTATGGAGGATTAAACCATATTATATCCCTACTCCGATTTTTTCGCTTATAGTTTACAGTCTCATTTTGATTGTACGTCATTTCATCATCAAAGCCACTAGATTTTAGCGCTTCACTGTAGATCTGCTTCGCGTTGTCAAAGGCCTGCTGATCACTTGACAATTGGGAAATTCTTCTGTTAACCCCAAGTGGTATTACCAATCATGGAGTTATAATTATTTTTACCAATTCAGCTCTTATTTTCTGTACAGTACGGGAAGTTACATTATTAAATACAGCGAGACCATCATCACGGTATAGGCCAATCTTTTTTGTGACAAATTGACAGTCAAGGTGGTGGAGGATGAATAGACCAATCAACTCGCATACCTCCGCTCCATCAAAACTGCCCATGGCAACGTCGAACCGTTCACCGCGTTTGCACCATGCTTTTTCACCATCGAATAACAGTGTGTTTCTGGAGTGCATGATAACGTCCATATCTAAGTCTGTGATATTTACATAATTTTTCGCCAACCGGATGGCCGACGTCAACAATTCTAGGGATATCGAAGGATAAAAGTCCGCAATATCAAACATGACGAATGTATGTCTAGATTTATCTTGAATACTACAGACCCACCGTATTACATCTGTTGTATTGGTCCACTGGTTTACATTTATTTTTGATCTGATTGTTTTGTTGACAGAATCCAATATGAATTTACTAACTCGTCCCATTTCACTTTTCGCTGGTTTTATTAGACGACATGCCGGTTTGTTGGCGAAGTTGCTTTTATGATCTTTTAACGTAACAAACGCTTGCTTCTCAGCCGTAGGTGTAATTCTATCATCTATTTTAAGTTTTGCGGCTATCTGGTAAAGTCCTTTGTTAATAATTGCTGGAAGGTCGTCTTCTGCTAGCTTGTGTTTTGATGTGATGTTTTCTTTCAATAATTTAGTGTACATTTCACTGCCCATCTTATAAATATTCCTTGTCTTATCGGCAAACACGAACATTTTTTTGGAAGAGTTGATAGATTTGATGTCATCTCGTATTAGCCTTTGGAATTGGTTATTGACACGTTTGGTTTTAACGTTCTTTATCATGCTAAGTAGGTCATACTCGAACTTTCTCATTTCGGGAACCTGCGGGGTTTTTTTTTTTCTAGATTTCATGCCGAACGTTAATTTTGATTCACTGGGGTTTTCCTGATCTCAATTTCTAAGAAAGAAATAGGCTTTCCACCGCATTCTCTTTAACACACTTTCCACTTTTTCGATAAGTGCTTTCCTATATATATCCATTGACGGAATGGGAATATTCTTCATTGAATAGCTGTAGTGCAAACGGTCCATCGACTTAAGTATCGCCGGGGCGACGAGAGTGCTCAACACCAAGGAGCTAAATATAACTTGGATTAGGTAAGTACGTCCCATGCGTGAG